AGCTGAAGACCACAACATAAACGGGCGCTGTCTCTCCAAGAGAGCCCAAGTCCGGTCATCCTCAGCGTCACAGACACGGGGCTCTCTTCAGAGCGAACAGGTCTGAAAGGGAGTCATTGCTCTGGGGTCTTTGCAAGACAAAAGGCAAATGGAACAGAAGAAATGTCCCTGTCCGCCCAATGTGCTCAACAGACACGGTCCCTCTTGCTAGCTGGGAAAACCGACAGGACCTGAAGTAGCAGCTACGGGCTTGGGGATCATGGGCACAGGCCATGCCCTGGTCGACTCTGAAGTGGTCTGGCCTTTTCTTATTTCACTCCATCCTATCCGATTCTCAAGCAAATCTCTTTGATCTTTTCATCACACATGGGTACCCTCAAGCCTCTGCCCACGTCCTGCCTCGCTTGGCTGAGACCATTGTGACAGCACCACCAAGGTGGATTTAAGTGGATTCGAGACAAGGTCTCGGCCACAGCTCAGGGAGTAAAAGTCACCTCTGTCCACTATGGATGTCATAAAGCTCACTGAGGGTACCCTCAAGCCTCTGCCCACGTCCTGCCTCGCTTGGCTGAGACCATTGTGACAGCACCGCCAAGGTGGATTTAAATGGATTCGAGACAAGGTCTCGGCCACAGCTCAGGGAGTAAAAGTCACCTGTGTCCACTATGGATGCCATAAAGCTCACTGAGATAAAGCTCACTGAGTCACGTTAAGGGAGAGGAAAGAAACAACGTAATTCAGGAGCACACAGATCACCCTCACCTGCAAATCTCCAACACAAGCTACCTTAACACGTGGCCTTTATTTGACAACAACCAACAACTCCTGTTTCCGAGTCTCAGTGAACACTTTGTTCGACTTAGCTGGTCTCCCGCGAGGCTCACCTCCCAGGGTACACAGGGTGGCAGATGCCATGCCCACGACCGTGCTCTCACACGACCTGCGTGGCAGGTGGCTGCTGCTGTGGTTATTATGACTTGTCCGTGACTGTATGGTCACGTCTGCTCATGGGCAGAGTGTCCCCAACCACACACACCACTTCCCATTTTCCATTTCTGTATTATGCACTAAGGGAGTAAGTTAACAGATGAAACATGGGAATGGGATTTACTAACTACCACACTAAACATCAAGGATCAAAAGGCTGAAGATACAATTGTGGCTTGGCAGTCATTGGCAGTGTGACCTTCCTCTGAGGTCCTTTACAAACCAGGGAGATTTTTCCTTTGTCCTCCCCTCTAAGAGCCCTGGGAGGCAGCGGGTGCCCGACAGGGGCCCTGGCAAGCACCACACACTGTGAGCTAAGTGCGCGGCTGGCTTCCAGCAGAGGACTCACATGCGACAGCTTATTGGGGGAATCTTTGCAACTTCCATCTTTCTGCAGGGCTCTTTCTTTATAGGAACTCAGGACTTTGGAAGGTGGGCCATGCCATTTGGTTTCTGTCACAAAAAGAGAGAAGAGTGGAGTTTCTAATTTCCAGTATTAGCAAAAGAGTAAAGAAAAACGGGGGTCGAACAAATGGGTTTGGGAAAAATTAACAGGAATGCAGTTCTGGGACGTTCTGGTTTTACCCACGGATATGTTGTCACCAGAGTAGAAAGACCACCATGGAAGTAAACGACACATTTTCGCAGGCACTGCCACACCACAACCAACCTGACCACACCCCTCCTGCACCAGGAGACTCCGCCGGTCCCCTGAGCCTGATGCACTCACCAAACGTAGCTGAATGAATGAATGAATGCATGCATGCATGCATGCAGGAGTGCTGGAGAGGATGGGGGCAGGGGAAGGTGGCGGAGGTGGTAGGTTCTGCCCAGGAGTGCCCTGTTACCCGGGTGTCGGCTTCCTTCCACCGTGTCCTCCCGCTCATGGGCTCCGTCGCACTCCACGGGGCCTGAGCTCTGGTGCTCCAGCAGCAGGGGAGACTGGCACCTGCGGAGAGCACAGAGCGAGCTGTCCTTCCCTGCCATGCCACCAGCAGCAGGACCACAGACGGGGAGCCCCGTCAGAAGCCACTTTCTGGCAAATAGAAATGCAGCATCTGATGGCCCAACCCTGCCGGAGAAGCTAAAAGCATCTGGAATCAGGGGATCTACTTTCACCACGAGGTCAACAAAGGTTTGGAATGACAGCCATTTACAGAGAAGAAAGGCTGTGAGGACAGGACTGTCCCAGGAGAGACGATGCCCCTGCCAGCTAGAGGTGCTCACTGGTTTTTTGTTTTGTTTCTATTTTGTGCCTAAAAACATGCACTGATACATCTTGAAATTAAATTTTGTAAGGAAAGAAAACATGATTAACTCTAGACTACATCCAAGTGGTCTCTGTTTTCAGAAAACCCAAAATAGGAAAATATAACCTTATGAAAGAAAGAAATCAAAGAAAACGTATTCACAGTACAAAGTGATCTTACTTACAGAATCCTGGTTACAAAGGTCCTGGTTTTTTTAAAGGTTTTTAAAAGTTTTTTCCATTTCTTAAAAAACACAAAACAAAACCCCAAATTGCCCTCTACTTTTAAAATGCAACTTTGAAGAACTGCATCTTTTATCTAAGGTAAGGGGCACATGGAACTCAGACTACAAATATCTCTAAGGAGAAAAGCGGGTGCTGGGGAGAGAGATTTCCCCCTGCACTCGTGCAAGTGGAGACACAGGCGTCCCTCGAGGTGGGGTCCCTCCCTTTGATCAGCTGTCCCCTCATCTAAGTTCCCTAACATGGCAGCGGTGTGGCTCTGTCACAAAGCAGCCACCCTGCCTCGGGGGCCAGAGTGGGCCACAGCTCAGGACATCACCGTGCCACCTCACCAACCCCTTCCCAGAGGCGTCACCTGGGCTGCTGCGCCCAGGGCCATGCACACGCCACCAGGGATGGCCCTGGGCTAAATGCACTCAGGCAACGTCCTTTGCTTCTCAATAGGAAGCAAGAAAAGACGCATTTCCCTATTTTGAGCAGAGTTCCCTTGTTGCAATTTAAGTGAGTGGTAACCTCCAAAGGCCACTGTCTGCAGAGTCCCCAAATCCTGGATTTTCGTGTTCAGAGAGCCTTCCTTTCCTTATCAAAAAGAAACAACAGGCAGGCTCAGAACATAGACAAGAGAGTGCTCCCTACCCAGAAACGACGAGCTTTCCAACCTGGACAAGTCACTTATAAAAGCATGACTGGCATTTTCAAATTCCACTGATGGCTGTGTGTACAGCAGGTGCACAGTAAATGCTTTTGAATGGGTCACAGAGAAAACGTAAAAAGGAGCGGTACCCGTCATAGGCCACTTGCGGTCTCCACGGTCCACTCCCGCCAGGTCCCGGGTCACTGGAGGACGACTGATTGCTGGGTGAGCTCCTGCAAGGTGGACCAGAATCGTTAGCAGCGCAGAGCATTCCGCCTGCACCTGACCTGGCCTGCTTTGTGTTATGAGTCAACTTGCTTCAACAATGACAAAGAAAAGAAAACAGAATGAACCACGGGTAAATAAACTGGAGTCATCGGTGCCGTGAGGTATCGGGTGGTTTACGGTTGGCAATTTGTCACACGAAGGAGTCGCCGCAGGTCGAGCCTTTGCCATCAAAGATTTAAAGCACAGATAATGACCGCCCCTCCCCAGCGGAATACAAAAGAACAGTAACACAACCCCCAGGAGTACAGAATTATGATGTGAGGTATCGGGTGGTTTACGGTTGGCAATTTGTCACACGAAGGAGTCGCCGCAGGTCGAGACTTTGCCATCAAAGATTTAAAGCACAGATAATGACCACCCCTCCCCAGCGGAATACAAAAGAACAGTAACACAACCCCCAGGAGCACAGAATTATGAAAACATTGCTAATTCTTGTTATATGAAACTTAACGCAAGTCACGTTTTGGTTCTATATTTAAAACCTATGAAGAGAGAAGAACCGAGATTTGGCAAAACCACTTATCTTCGCAGATCTACTGAATGTAACCCTATTTATTTTTTTCAGAAAATATCCTATCTGTTTTTTCAGACATGCAAAAATGAGTGATACTCATGACAACTCACTCGATGAAGATGTGTCTGCCATGTTGCTGGAGTCCCCGTGTTTTTTCCCATAGCAGACTAAAGTCCACTTCCATGGGGGAGGGTCTGCAGATGCCCCTCCTTCCAGACGGTGCGTGCTGTATGTGGCTCCTTACACTGGGGCTACCTGTGGATGTTTCTTTGGACGGCGGAGTTTATAAACTCAGAGCACCTTTGGGTAAGGAGACCCAGAGCCAAGGAGATTTAATGTCAAATTGGCGGTAAATAAACTGGAGTCATCGGTGCCGTGAGGTATCGGGTGGTTTACGGTTGGCAATTTGTCACACGAAGGAGTCGCCGCAGGTCGAGCCTTTGCCATCAAAGATTTAAAGCACAGATAATGACCGCCCCTCCCCAGCGGAATACAAAAGAACAGTAACACAACCCCCAGGAGCACAGAATTATGAAAACATTGCTAATTCTTGTTATATGAAACTTAACGCAAGTCACGTTTTGGTTCTATATTTAAAACCTATGAAGAGAGAAGAACCGAGATTTGGCAAAACCACTTATCTTCGCAGATCTACTGAATGTAACCCTATTTATTTTTTTCAGAAAATATCCTATCTGTTTTTTCAGACATGCAAAAATGAGTGATACTCATGACAACTCACTCGATGAAGATGTGTCTGCCATGTTGCTGGAGTCCCTGTGTTTTTTCCCATAGCAGACTAAAGTCCACTTCCATGGGGGAGGGTCTGCAGATGTCCCTCCTTCCAGACGGTGCGTGCTGTATGTGGCTCCTTACACTGGGGCTACCTGTGGATGTTTCTTTGGATGGCGGAGTTTATAAACTCAGAGCACCTTTGGGTAAGGAGACCCAGAGCCAAGGGGATTTAATGTCAAATTGGCCTTAATTGAACACCGTCCCTACGTTCACTCTGGAAAGAATGAACTGGAAAAGGCAGAAGCCT